TATTGCCCTGATGGTGGAAATGGGAATTTTCACTGCTCTAGCTCTTTTCTTAAAGTCACTTTCTAATTTGTGAAGCTCAATTATATTTTGCTGCACATCAGAAATATATTCTTTGGTTTTTGTCATTGTGATGGATGATTAAGGGAATTTGGCCTTTGTTTTCCCTCCTATTTATATTCCTGTGAAACAGGAAGCCATGGCTGGATATTTTCATGTTCATAATCACCCTGGTATGCTCAAAATTGTAAATATGAATGGGATTATACTTCAGAGATATTTTACTCATAAGAATTTCTAGGGGTACCAATAATTGTGTCCAACGTGTATTTGAGAAAAACATTTATTTCATAATGATATTTCTCCCCATTTTAAATTCTTATTCTCCAATGAAAGGTTAGATTTATGTGAATTTTTTAAAATAAAAGATCAAAATGATTAACAATGCAGATTTATTTTCACAGCCTTCTTTTTTCATATTTACCAAGGGTGCCAATAATTCTGACCACAACTGTATGTGTTTTTGCATCTCAAGTAAATGTGTAATAATTTAGGAACATTTAGATATTAGTACCAGGAAAACTAGACTAAATAAATAAAATGAAAAAGAAAGTGACTTTTTTTTTTTTTTTTTTGCAGTGAAACTGAGTACATTGCATTCTGGGATACACTAATGTATGCATTTTGCAAAAAATAATTGCTCATCCAGGTTTTCCATGCATTTAGACAGTTTGAACACTTTATATCAAAGTTACTGCAAAAATAGTCTAGTATGCTAGTTTGCTGTTTAGAACACAGCCAGGGTGTCTCCAGGAAAGTTTATCTCATTCTGTCACCCACTTTCACTCATTCATTCTATCTGTCTACAACAAACAGCTGGGTTTGTTATTTTGGCCCTGCTCAGAGGGAGTCTGAATAATCACTGTGTGTATACAGTATGTCCGCATATCTGTGTGAGAGTCGGATTAGATCTCACCCTCAGGGTGAGAGATGATGGCTGTCACCCGGAGTAAAATCAGCATATTAATAAAATAACCTCCCCCCATTAGCCACAGCTCTCAGCTCAGCTCGGATTCTGCAGAAAAAAGGCCAGGCCGGGTCGAGCCGTGACTGTTCTGGGGTGCAGATTTGGCTGTGTATTCTGCCAGTGTGTGTCTCGAGTGCTCTGACAGAGGGGTGAGAGGCTGGATGACCCCTCACAGGCTGCGGAATTGAACAGAGATACACTCACCGCAAGAGCTGTCTGAACTGACACACACCTGGAGAGAGCGGACAGCTTTATACAAACACACACACTCTCAGTCATGTATAACTTTATATACAAACACATTCACAGAGCTCTATACAAACACTCACTCTGTATACACACAGATATACACAAATGCAACGCACTAAAATTGGAGTAGACAAATATGAAAATGTATATACAGTAGACCTAAGCTGCTTTTCTATCCATGTAGTTTTATGCAAGTGTTTAGGCTTTTGGATGAAAAAAAAACACTAAAAAATTAATGTAAACACAATGAATAAAAGTGTACACCATCATAAGTGCATGTGCTTAAAAAAAAAAAGTCAATATTCTTGCTTGGGGCAAATAAATGTTTTATTTGCTAATAAGGCATGCACACATGTTATATAAAAACATTTACTGTATATTGCATTCAGAAAAGCCATGTGAATATTTTGCTTGTTTGCTACTGATTGATGCTCTAAACTAAAAATAATGTATTACATTTCTTTAATTAATTATGCAGTTTTCCTTGACAATATTGTTGTTTTTCAACATATGGGATGTAAATGTAAATTGTTTTGATCAATTATATTTAATTACATTTTTTACATTTATGTAGGCCTAAATAAAGAATAATTTACACAAATGAATTTATATAAACTATCGTTCAAAATTTGGGGACAGTAAGATTTTTTTATGGTATTTGAAATAACCATTAAGTCTATAAAGTCTCTTATGCACACCAAGGCTCCAATTATTTGATCAAAATATAGTAAAAATATTAATATTTCTCTACTTTAATATAATTTAAAATGTAATTTATTCCTGATGGCTATGTTGATTTTCAGCAGCAGTTTTCATTGTCTCATGATCCTTCAGAAATCATTCTAATATGCTGATTTGCTCAAGAAGCATTCCTTATTTTTATCAATGTGGAAATTGTGATTTATATAAATTCTTTAATGTCATTTTTGACAGTTTTATGCACCCTTGCTGGATAAAAATATTAATTTGTTTAGAATGCATTTTTTTTGTGCATAATTTAAATACACAACATTATGTATGTACAGACTTAAATCTACAACTGTATATACACATTAAACAGATTGACACAGACAGATAAACACACAAAACATGCATGCATGCACTTGCAGCTCTATACATACTCAGACAAAAGGCCATTGAAAAGCACTCTCAGCATTACATAAACACACACCTACGGCTCTATATACAACACACAATCAGGCAGAGCCAAACACAGCAGAGCTCTATTAAAACACCCATAAACAAGCACACACATGCTAGTCATCGGGTACAGAAACACCCTTACACACACTCACACACTGATGCCATTACGTACAACAAACAGCTCAGGTTTTGGACATCTGGAAGATCCCTCTCATCTAGTTGAAGTTTGTTTACATCTTTCAGACGGTGCGGTCTAATCTCTGTTCCACTGAGATGATCCTCTGTGCTTTTCCCGGAGAAAAGAGCCCTCTTCCCCTCGCAAATATCCCTCGAAATGACCCCAAACAAGCGCTAGCAGATGGGGGCTGTGTGTTGAGGATGCAGATTTGTGTACATGATGGTTTTCTGATGCCGTCTGCCAAATTTCAGAAGCAAACAGAGGAGATCTGGACAGCAAGGTTTTTTGGTTCTTCTGAATTTGAAGAAGTAAATTGGTATTTCACTGATGTACTTTGTGATTTTTAATTGTGTGTTTTTCACAGAACAAATCACCTTCTGTTTTGTTTTCCGATAACTCAAGCGTCCTCGGACAAATCTAATCTCCCATGTCTGTAATTGCAGTATAATATTATTTTGACCTTTGTCGAAGTTCGTAACTAAAGCTAGATTTATTTTTTGCTGCCTGGTCCACCTTCATTCCCAGCCAGTATATGAAATCACAGATGTCCTCTGTTAACAACTGTACATCAGCTGCTGTACCAAACCCTTGTGAATAGTGCTGAGGTCTGTGTTTGAGTGTGTATGTGTGTGTTTGAGAGGGTCTGCCTTTATAAAGCAGCTTTTGGACAGGAGTGAGGAGAACTGTGTGGCAGACG